TAAAATTGTGGATGTGTAACCAATGTGATTCTGCAATCTGTATTTGGGGTAAAAATGGGAGTTCATAACCCACTTGAATCTAATGTATGAAATATGATATGTCAAGAGCTTTGTAATGTTTTGAACAACCAATAAAAAAATTCTCTCTCTCTCTGTCTCTTTAAAAAAAATGTTATAGAATCGTAGAGTGGAATGGTCCAGATGATTAATTATAACTGTTGAAGTACATAAGTAATACTTATAAAATTGATTTTGAAATTGTTTTTAGAGAGACTACAGCATCATATATTTTTATTTGTTACATTTTAACTATTGCTACCCATCAGGGACTAAAAATAATGGTGTTAATTTTTTTAATATGCATCTTCTATTTATTTGACACTTTTATCCAGCAGAAAATCAGAACCCCTTTAGGAATCACTCTGTTGTCTGTAACCTCTGAGCTTGTACTTATTCAGAAACTCATTTCCTGTATAGATTATTTGGTCTGTTTGCTTCCTTCTTTCAGCTGCTAGAAACTTTTCTTGTTTCTCTTTTTTAATCCTCTCCAGGGGAAATATAGGAGCCAGAACTTAGAACTCCCATGTCTCTTTATCTCTTAGTAATTCTGGTGAAATTGCCACAAGAAAGAGGTCAGTGATTACTAAAATAAAGATAGGAGTGGTCTATAGGAATGACCTATTATCTGAATATCCACTACCATGACTCACTGAGTATTGAGGAGACAGTCAACACACTATATTGATATAATTATAAAGAATTTTGAAATTCCATCTCTTTCACAACTCTTTCCTTTCTCATCCTTCCTCTTTGCTCCACCCAGTACACACCCACTCATCAAAGATATGTACATGAAATGAAATTATTCAAATTAACAGTACTAATCATTCTTACCATTTGCTATGTAACCTGGTACGTACATAGCATGACTTCCTGGGACAGAGTGGGCTATGGCGCTTACGCTGGGAGAATGATTGACATGCACTTTCAAGCTATATCTACCATTTACAGCAAAGGAGAAAAAATACCTCGAGTATATTCCATCATTTTTTATAACATCAGCACCTGCATAGACAAAGATTCAATGTCAATACTTGTCATCATAGTTGATTGCTAATATTTAATGCTACTAAAATAACATTTCTCCTCTTATTCTTTTCATTTTAGTGTCTGTTATCATGATTATTGCTATTTTTTATTTTATGAGGTAACTAAAGACTAATGGTCCAATAATTTCTTCCTGTTATTCCTTAGCCTCTGAAAAAATTATTTTCTAAAGGTGAGTGAGTTTTACCTACTACAGTTTTAATAAAACACTTAAAAATCATCTTTAAAGCTTTCATTCCTATCATTGAAAATGATACTAGTTTTCCCTAGAAACCAAGCGTATTTTTAAGCTTATTTATGGTCATAAACTCTTTTGAAATAATATATATTCTGCCTCTAAGAAATAAATATGTATTCACATATACACATTTTCATACAATTTTCAAGAGTTTGTGAATGACCTGAAGCTGTTTGATTAAGAATGTCTAGTATGGCAGTATGTAAATCAGTGGATGTGTAACCGATGTGATTCTGCAATMTGTATACGGGGTAAAAATGGGAGTTCATATCCCACTTGAATCAAAGTGTGAAACATGATATGTCAAGAACTATGTAATGTTTTGAACAACCAACAATAAAAATTTAAAAAAAAAGAAATAAATCTTAGAAAAAAAAGAATCTCTGTTGGGGGGAAGAAAACAAAAACAAAAACAGAAGAACTTTGGTTGTTGATAAAATTATATGAAATTGTTTAATTTCCTCATTAGAGAGTACATGGAATTATTCTAGATTCTAAGAGGACTGATAACCTGGAGTTTGGCAGCTTTGGTTCTGTCCACAGTGCCATGATTCAGGGGACGTGCTGATAGCTTTGCCAGTGCTAGACTCCCTTCCTTTTGCACTGATCCTCAGAGAGCAGTTCAATTCAGAGCCAAGTCTATGAATGGCAGGAAGACCTAGACCCCAGAATAGCAGGTAGACCACCATCTTAGGCCAAGTACAAGTCACATTCACCATTCAAGTGCAGGTGGCCTCTTTGGACAAGCAGCTTCTCCTACCCAGTTGTCAATTCAGTTCTCACACCATACTCCCAGCCCTGAGTCCCAGCACTATACCATTGATAAAGTAGAATCTTCCTCTTCCCTACTGCAGAAGTAGGCTCCTTAACATGAGAAAAGCAAAGCATATTTAAGTAAAATAAATGCTAAACATCTTATTATCAAGGTAGATTTAGCAAATTTTTTTCTATTGGAAATAAATAAGAGTATAGTATTTATTAACAATTTTTTTCTATTAGAAATAAATAAGAGTATAGTATTTAGTGATTTAATGACTAATAAGATGGTTTAACATTGTTGAGAAATTCAAAGAAAAATATCTCCATCACGCAGTCAGCACTGCCAGCTCTGAGGCAGAAAGAAATGGGGAAAGACCATTGGCTTGAGAGTTTAGAAAGTTGGCTTTAAGATGTGGATCTGCCACTTAGTAGCTTTGAAGCTTAATATCTCACTTTTATTTCTATAAAATGGGATAACCTATCATACAGGGTTGCTGTGATAGTTACCTGAGAGTATGCATGAGAAAGTACACTGTTAAATTATAAATCATTTTGTAAGTACAATTTTATTGTTTTTCATTAATTTTACTTTGCAGATAAATACTTCTTCCATTACAGAAAGTATTAGACAACTATGCACATGTGTGTTGAGTGTTGGGATGCAGACTAAATTTACACTTTAATGTCTAAGTAGCATTTTTCAAACAAATGAAATGATTCAGGGAATAAATATAAAAGCCTATTGAATTGAATCAGGTGATTTTCCCTAAGAGAACAGGATCTATTCTCCAGGCCAGTTCACAGACTGGAGCAAGGGAGAAACATTCTGTACAGTGCATATTTGGACTGTACACTACAAAATGAAAGCTCGGGCCCTGCATAAGCAATCAGAACATGAGATGTTCATTTGTCTCCATTCCAACAGGCAAACAAGAAAACTTCTTAGTATCCCCCTGAGATGAAACTGAAGTACAGTCCTCTGAATGAACTTTGTTCATAAATGTCATACATGATTGCTGTGGTAAGCTAGCTGCACTACAAAAGGGCTGCCAAAACMAAGAATCTTGAAAAACATCAACTTAAAATAACAGAGCAGAGGTATGTGATTTTATTAGCACATTAAATATTTGGGACTACCAATATAGACTTCAGGGTCTATTATCATCCTGAGAATTTAGTTTAGGAAAAGAACAGAATGGGAAACAAGAAATGAGGAACAACAAAATAGTTTTAAAAATTCAGTCAGAAAGAGTCCAAGTKCTGCTGTCTGCCTGGTCAGATGCTCTGCTATCCATACTGTATAACATGGGGCTCTGAATTCCATTTATGCAGAATAAGAGCTTTGAATTAGCATTTCTTATTTTACTTAGTATTGCCAGTGGTGGGGAAATCTCTATTTTGATTCCACTAACCTGCTGGCCTGGTCTTCTTTGGGACCAAGTCACACACATCAAAGGCATTGTCAAAGATGTGCTGTGTCCTCTTGTCAACTCAGCCGCCTGGCCAAAGAATAGTCTAGGGCCATCTCATGAGTCACAATTCAGTTTCCAATTTTTTCTCACAACTGGGTCCAAAGGGAAAATATGGCTTAACTGTCACTGCATATCCCTTCTTGAGTTTTCATTTGCTATTTTTTAGCTGTCCTGTCTAATTATTTCAGTGAACCAGTAAAACTGTTCACTCTGAGAGAAATACGGGCACATCGTAAGGATGCACGATTTTGTTCATGAGTGACCTTATGAAGCAAGAGTGTCCGATGTCACTGGCCATGTGGAAGCCAAGACCAAGGAGTTCAGTGGCTTCCTCCCATCTTTTTACAGTCAAGATACAGTCACTCTGAAGAGCCTCATAGAGACTATTTTCTCAAATTAGCCTGCAGCTATTTAGTGTATCAGTGATTCTATGAGAATTTGAGATGGAAAAATAAAAATAATTGAATTAAAGAAATTTAAGTAGGCTTATGTCAATGCAACTTCACCATACGTGGCAAGTCTCATGAACATGTAGAGCACCACGACATTCCTCATTACCTGCTCCGTCGTCGGAAAGTTTCAGCAGGACAGGATCTCCAATCTCTGGCTCAACCATCGCTGTAACCGTGGCATTAAGAATGGGGTAAAACCCTCTTTTTACATTTGCATAAATTATCACGGGATGAGGAAAATAGGYGCTATCTCTTTCCACAAAGGCTTCCACAGTGGCTGGGGGCACAGTGGAGCTGGAGGCACGGGAGGCCACTGTCACTTTCAGGGCCTGAGGAGAATGGTGTGTATTGTTCAGGGTGTATATCCAGTGCCCAGGCTGCAAACAAAGGGTTTTTGTTTCATAAAATGTGAGGGGGAAAAATTAACAATTTTAAAGCATACATCTAAGATCTTAAGGGTGGGGAGTTTAGATGCCATCACCTGCACAGTCTTCTTTGTTGGAATTCATGTGCTTTGCCATTTTCTAGTGAAGCCTCATTTGAGCATTAAGATGACCTATCTATTCTTGTTTTGGAATCATAACATTAGTAACAGATGAATGTCAGGAATCTCCACATCAAAAATATTTCTATGGTGTTTTGATACAGGGCACCTAATCCAGACTAAGGGGTTGGGCAAATGGAGCAAGAAAAAGGAATAGTGTTTGCCCTTGTGCACAGATGTGAAAAGAATACAATGAGCTGCAGAAAAGTTCCATAGGATCAGAGCATAAAGTAATTGAGAGGAAGGTCAAGAAAGGTTGATCAGATTTGCGTTTCAGAAGGATCATTCTGAAGGAGGTGAAGAATTGGAGGGATGCCAGTTAGAGTCAAGGCCAGTTAAGAGATTGCCAACAGCGATGGAGGCAGGGATAGTGTGTGATAAGGCACTGAGTTCAGGCAGTACAAGAGCTGATCTAATCAAACCACTGCCCTGCTTAAAACTTTCAGTGGTTCCCCTTCACCACCAGGATTTAAGCCCCTTTATTCTGCAAAGCTCTTGCTGATGTGGCTCTTCATTCCCTACTTCCTCCTTTACCTACATTCCCAGGCAATGTGCTATTGTAGTTCATCTATATTGAACACAAGGTAGGTACAGCACATAGAGAGGCTCAGAGAAAAATAACATTGCTGTTCGTAGTACTGCACCTACCTTGTGGCCCCTTTATTCCCCATATTTCCATTTTAAAGTCCTCACTTCCAGAAACCATTTCTCCTTCCCACCCTTCTGTATGCTCTGATAGTGCCTTGTTACTTACTCCTTTCATGGCATCTTATTGTAAATCACCTACAAGACCAAGCAGGTACTCAAAAGCATGTGTATTGCATTGTTCATGTTATAAGTTTTAAGTAGAGAATTTTTCCTAAGCATATAGAAAAGTATGTCCATATGGATTACATAAAGAAGGATGTAAACTAGAAAAAAATTATTTGTACTACTAGTAGAAATACTAATTTCCACTGTTCGAGTTAGAAGTTTTCATGTGAAGTTCTAAATATATTTTAGTTGCTCCTCTTAAGTTTTTAACATCTACAAAAATTTTTCATAAAATTTAAAGTTTTGATATATCAAAATAAAATCTCATTTACACACTAAATTTAATAATGTGATTCAATTGGCTAAATGTTGTTATAAATGAGTATTGTTATAAATAATACCTTAACACCTACCTTGGCAGTTCCCGGGATCAAAAGGCTGGCTGTCCGAAAAGCCTCATTGATGATAAAATTATTCATGTAGTATTTTCTTCCAGTAGGATCAAGTAATACAATCTCAGGGGGACCACTGGTCTGCCACATGACTAGGAAGATAGTGTCATTGCCCACCCTGTTATCCACAGTCACAGTGTTTTTCAATTGATGATAAGGGCTAACATTTTCACCCATGCTTTCAAGCTGTTAAAAAGAATATATATATGAAAGTTTCTAGTGTATAAATGAGMATTTCTCCTTTTTCTTGACTTTTTTGACAAACAAAAACAAATTTGCAAGAATAAAAACATTTAATTTTGACATATAAAATTTTCATATAAAAATGCTTTTCCAAAACAAAATATTATATAAGTGGTGCTAAAATATTTTGTTGTTGTTAATGCAAGTATCCTTTCATTATTCTTTTTTATATATATGACAGAAGAATGCATTACAATTCTTATTACACATATAGAGCACAATTTTTCATATCTCTGGTTGTATACAAAGTATATTCACACCAGTTTGTGTCTTCATATATGTACTTTGGATAATAATGATCATCACATTCCACCATCATTAATAACCCTATTCCCCTCCCTTTCCCTCCAACTCCTCTGCCCTATCTAGAGTTTGTCTATTCCTCCCATGCTCCCACTTCCTATCCCACTATAAATCAGCCTCCTTTTATCAAGGAAAACATTTGRCATTTGGATTTTTGGGATTGGCTAACTTCACTTAGCATTATTTTCTCTAACTGCATCCATTTACCTGCAAATGCCATGATTTTATTCTCTTTTATTGCTGAATAATATTCCATTATATATATACACTACATTTTTTTATCCATTCATCTATTCAAGGGCATCTAGCTATTCCTCTCCTCCTCCTATATCCAAAGGACTTAAAAACAGCATACTACAGGGACACAGCCATATCAATGTTTATAGCAGCACAATTCACAATAGCTAAACCGTGGAACCAACCATCATTATTCTTTATCAAGAATGATTTAGTTGTTCTCATATCATCTCTCATCAGAATGAACATTGGCCTCAAATCAGCAATTAGAATAACAAACTTTTAAAAATTTTTGTTTGTGAATGTACTTAAATTGTTTTAATTTTTAGATAACATATCCAGGTACTTTTATAGATTTTAATAAGAAATAAATTTAGGTTTACATGCTGCATTAAATAATGTGATTCAATTGAAAGTCAATTGGCTAAATGTTGTTATAAATGTTGTCACTTGTAATAAACTGTCTGCACATGAGTGTGTGCTTCTGTGCATGTTTTTCACATGTGTATAACATGTACTGTACATATATGTGCCTGGCACTGTGCTAAATACTTCATGTATATTGTATCATCTGTTCTTTATGGAAACCTTCTGAGACAATGCTGTTCACATTTTTACAGATGAGAAGTAATTTGCCCAATGTCACAACAGCAAAAACGTGGAATAGGATAAAACTCATGTGGGTTGGCACCACCAGAGCCTCTGCATCTAATCACTGGGTATTCGCAATAGAAACAAGTCTGTAAATAATTTTTAAATTACATTTATTAAAAACATTAGAATACTGTAAAATAGCTCAAACCTGGAAAAATCATATTAGCGAATGGCAGCAAAGGTATCATGGATCAATTTAACAAGTGTTTGTGGGCTGCCAATGGCTATGCTGTACTCTCTACTGGGCCCTGGGCTGCTGAAGGGACTTTGGAGGTGGCTTCTGCCCTAGGAGAACTAATGATATGCAAACAATAGGGAGCAGCAGCCAATGCTGGGAATGCTAAGACTAATTTGAGACCATATGAAGACTATTTTATATTAAATTTGGTTTTCATGGTTTTTTGACAGTTGGTTTTATACCATGTTAAAGAGGAAATAACAGGGTATAAAGATTATGGGGAATTGGCAAGAGAATCGATTATAGTCTAATCTATCTATAACATATATGTCATTTATAACTCACATTTTTACTTTATCTTTTTAAATTTAAATGTATTTTAACTGATAAAAACATAAAAATTGCACTTATTTATGGAGCACCATGTGATATGTTGATATAAGTATACACTGTAATTTTTAACTCAGGTAAAACATTTTATCTCTGAATTTATCATTTCTTTAGGGTGAAAACACTCAAAATCCTTTCTTCTAGTCCTTTGAAATATACCATACACTGTCAATGTCTATAGTTACCCTGCTATGCACTAGCACACCAGAACCTCTTACTCCTAACGAAAATTTACTACCCAACAATCAACCTCTTCCCATGTCTCCCTCTCCCCTACTCTCTATGGCCTCTGGTAACCACCATTCCACCCTCATCTTCTATGAGATCAGCTTTTTTATATTCCACCTATGAGTGAGATCATGTGCTACTTATCTTTCTGTGCCTGGCTTATGTCATTTACTATCGTGATTTAATCTTGGTATGTGTCTAGAAAAGTGTCCATTTCTCTTAGGTTATCAGATCTGTTGATAGTTGTTCACAATAATCTCTGATGAATCTGTGTATTTGTTTGGTGTCAGCTGCCATGTCTCCCTTTTTATTTTTGATTTTATTTATTTAAGTCTTCCCTCAATTTTTATTAGTCTAGCTAAGGCTATTTCTCTTTTGCTTTTCCTTTTTGAAGAACAGCTCTTTATTTCCTTAATCTTTTGTATTTTTTTTTTAGTCTCCATTGCATTTATTTCTGCTATGATCTTTATTATTTATTTCTTTTCTCTTTCTGGCCTTCTCTCCTTCCTGTCTCTGGTCTTTATTACATTATTTCTTTCCTTCTACTAATTTGAGTTTTGATTTGTTCTTGTTTTCCTAGTTTCTTGAGATACATTAATTGGTGGTTGATTTGAGAACTTTCTGCTTCTTGATATAAATTTATTGCTTTAAGCTTCCTTCTTAGCATTGCTTTTGCTGTATCACATAGGTTTTGGTATATTATATTTCCATTTTCATTTGTTTCAAGAAATTTTTAAATTTCTTGATTTTTTTTTTACTTGATCGATTGGTTGTCCCAGAGTAAGTTGTTTAATTTCCTTCTATATGAATAATTTCCAAAGCTTTTCTTTATATTGACTTCTATTTTATTGCACTATAATTAGAAAATATACTCAATGTGATTAAACTTTTTTAAAAATTTGTTGAGACTTGTTCTGTGGCCCATCATATCCTGAATGTGGCATATGCTGTTGCGAAGAATGTGCCTTCTGCAATTGTTCTGTGGAAAGCCCTTCRGATGTCTATTAGGCCTGTTTGATCTAGGGTGAAGTTTAACTCTGCTATTTCCTTGTTGATCTTCTGTCTGGATTGATCATATGGTCTTAAATTCGCTACTAGTCTTGTATTGGGATCTGTCTCTCATTTGGGGTCTTTTAATATTTGCTTTTATTTGGGTGCTCTGATATTAGGTGTGAACACAGTAAGGATTGTTACTTACTCTTGCTGAGTTGATCCTTTTATGATATTCCTTATCTATTTTTTACTGCTTTTGATTTAAAGATCTCTTTGATGTTATGTGAGTATAGATAGTCTCACTTTCTTTTGCATTCAGTTTGCATGGGATATCTTATTCTGTCTGTTCATTCTGTCTATGTGTTTCCTTAGAGGTGAAATAAGTTTTCTGTGAGCAACATATAGCTGTGTCTTTTTTAAAAAATCTATTTAATCACTCTATGCCTTTTAATTGGAGAATTTAATCCTTTTAATGTAATTATTAATAGGTAAAGTCTTACTACCACATTTTGTAACTTGTTTTCTACTTTTACTACTTTTCTTTTTTTTCCTCCCTTATAGTCTTCCTTTGAGGTTAAGTGGTTTACTAGTGTGTTCTGATTCCTTGCTTATTACCTTTGGTTTGTCTGTTACAGATTTTTGCTTTATAATTACCATGAAGCTTACGAAATACATTTTTTAATAATAAGCTATTTTAAAATGAGAGAAAATAACACAGTTATAAAGATAAGAAAATAAACATAAAAGTAAGAAAAAACAGACTAATGAAACTCTGCACTTTCACTCCATTCCTTTCCACAATTTGGATTTTTGATATTCAATTTTACATCTTTCTCTATTGCCTATCTCTTATTTTATTAATGTGCCTATTATAAGTTATTTTATATTTTAGCCCTCATACTACAGATAGGAATGGTTTGTGTTCCATGTTTACAATATTAGAGGATTCTAAATACATCTGTATAGTCAACCTTCTGATGTTTTCCTCTTACTCACGAACATCTCTATCTTCCAGTTTGAAGAACTCTATTTAGCATTTCCTATGACAGGTCTGGTGGACATATACTCTTTCAGCTATTGCTTGGGAATGTCTTTATTTTGTAACTTCATTTCTAAAGCTGGGTAGAGGACTTTGGGTTTAAAGTTTTTATCTTCAATATTGTGACATCTCATGCCACTCTTTGACCTATTAGGTTTCTGCTAAGTCTATTGTCAGACAAATTGGGGCACCTTATGTGTTATTTGTTTCTCTTCACTTGCTATTTTATGAATCATCTCTTTATCTTTAACCTTAGAGAATTTGATTACAATATGTCTTGGGCATTTTTTTTTACTTCTAATAAGGTGGTTATTGCCTTTTCTGTGTACATATCACCTTCATGTTAAATATTTCCTAACAATGTACTGAGTTCATTGTTTACATCAAGTTATTAACTTAGCAGATTCACTCACCATCTGKAAGGAAACTGAAGATGAAATTCTGTTCAAAACACTATTCAGTTATGTCCAGGATATTTAAAATAATTAGAAAATATTAATCCTTTTAAAAATGGCTTAATTAGTAAAGAAGCAAAAGTAAAATATCATCTGGTCGGTGGAAAGTTATCAGGGAACTGAAACTAAATACAGTTTCCTATATTTCTTTTGGGCCTTACACCAACCCACTCTCCCACCCCCACTTGCATTTTGAGTCACAAAGAAGTAAGCTTTCTCACAGACCTTGAAAAACAGAAGTAGTAATTACAGAAAATGGCTCCTAGAGAAGTACAGGCATCACCTGGCTCTTGCAACACCAAGAAGCTCCGTAAAAGCCTTCTACACACAGATGGTTACATACTCCAATGAAGTGAATAGAACAGTTGGTACAATTCATCTGTTTCCCTTTCCATCCCCCACATAAAGAAATGCTGACCTGAATACTCTGTTGAAAAAGGTCTCCAGTTCCAGAGGAAATTCTACTGAAAGCATCAATCATGCTATTAGAGTTTGATTTATCCGGAACGTAAAACTTTAAACCTCCTGAAATAGAAATTGGGAAATTAATTATATAGGATAAAATAAAACAACAACAACAAAAAAGGTAGGCCTTTCCCAACAAACTTTCTTTTTATTGGAGTATCAGTTTCAGGGGGGCTGGAGCTGAGCTTGATATACTGTATGATATCTTGTATAGCTAGCTTCACAGTAAGTGGCTGTAGGGGTTAGTTTTATCTGCTCTGTTAACATCTCTATTGTCCAGATCTAGGATTCTTCCCTTGATGTCAGAACTTATTGAATAGTTTGGGATCATGGCAATTACTAGATAACTTAGGTTAATTGCTATCTATATTGCTATATATTTATATTTATGTTCTGAAAACATCACTTTCAAAAATAATTCAATAAGTCCTAATTTTCAATAGTAAAATCAGAATACTCATTTTTTATCAAATATAAGGAATATGAGATAAGTTTATCAGTGCTTCATCAGAATTAAAAGGATATGTAACTCACAATACTGTACACATCCCTATTATGGATGTTAGTGTAGTTAGTCTTGAACATGTTTTTTAGCTCCATGATTATACATCCTTAGGCTGGTTTAACAAAGAAATTATGCAAATATATTTTTATTGGACACCTTTAATTTGGACATTCTAAAGAAAATATAAAAACAAAATCAACAAAATTTTATCAATGGTTTGTTGTGTACTTTTAAGAAAACATTTTCTATTTTTTCAATTAAGCCAAATAATGTGAGTTTCATGATTATGTTTTGAAAATTCGAGTTTAAAAGACACACTCTAACAGATAAGTTTTTAGAAATGTATTACCAGTCACTTGGGATAATTCCTCCAGGTTTCCCACCGCAGAGGAGCCCAGGACAATGGAGTGGACGGTTGACCCACTGCTGAGCACTGTGAGCAAGCAGTTGCCAATGTGCTCGTCACCTCCACTAGTCACTAATATCATCACAGAGCCATAGGTTTTGCCATTCAGTTTTTCAACCACCTGAACATAGAATATCAGTCATTTCAAAGGAAATAAAGTTCAAACTGTCTTATTTAGCAGGAGAATTCACTCTCAGTTCAAATTCCTTAACAGTGGGACACATGCCTTTTGGAGGTCTTCCATGAATCTTCACACTCTGTGCCATCCCCACTCAGTCCTCACCTCACCCAGGCAYAGCACTCGTCACCCCATGTGCCACTGCCAAGTTGCTTGTGGGCAGGCACTTTTCCTGTTCCAGCACCACGATGTGTCCATAGCTAAGAACAGTGTCCACCATAGAGGATATGGGCTTTGTCACTGAATGAGAACCTTGCCTCTGAGACCCAGCAAGCACTTAGAGCAGTGTTTCTCAACCATGGCTACATATGAGAATTACATAAAGAGATTTAAAAATTTTTAATGATCAGATCACCCCCCCAGAACAATGAAATCAGTCTCTTGGGGATGAAACCAAGGCATCAATTGGTGGTGGTGGTTTTGGCACTGGGGATTAAATCCAGAACTTCATACATACAAAGCATGTGCTCTACCCTCAGCCTCTAAGTATTTTTTAATCATGAGACATCAGTGGACAGTCTAAGTGGAGACATAACTTGGCTATAGGCAGCCTGAGGTTTTGCTTGCTACCAGATGCTTGACACATGGCTGCAGCTCAGATACTCTTTTAGAAAGACTCTGACATTCCTGAATGTCAGAAACCTACTCATTTTGACTAGAAAAACCAAGGGTAACTCTGGCTACAGCTGGGACAGACTCAGAATAAATAGGAACAGTTTTAAAGGTGCTCAGATATTGTCTCTCATTCTTGGCCATGGTATTCATTTCTTTGTTCTTTCCTTCAATAAGCATTTACCAAGCAACCATTACATGCTGAGTACTTTTCAAGATGAACAAGACATTGTCCTGGGATTTTACGGATAATCCATCATTGCTCTCCCATAGCTGAGGCTGTAGTAACCACATGGTAATAGATTACCCCTAATTAGAAAGAACCTCAGAAACAAAATGAAGGAAAGAATAATAATGGTGATGGAGCTTAGGATACTCTACTGTACCTCAAATCCTTTTTTAAGCCCTGAGCAGATACTGGTTTCTGCTTCAGCTGACACAGTGGTAGGCAGATACGAAACCAGCAGCTTTCGGTCATCATCACTGTTAATTTGATGTAGCTGGGCTCGGATCTCTCCTTTACCATCGAAACTCACAATGCCCACAAAAGAATGAATTTCAACAATCTGCATCAAGTAAAATTCAGCTGCTTGTTGTAGTCGGAGGAGTCTGTCAGCCTACATCCCAAAAAGGAAAAAAAAAAAAAAAAACAGATGACAATGTCTGATTTGTAGACAAAAGTATGAACCAAGTAATTCAATTAGCAAATGTCTCGACTAATTCTTTAAAGATGTTGCATTATAGTTTTTTGAGTTTTAAAGAGTGACATACTACTAGAATATTGTTCTATTAATTGCAGGTTCAAAATGCACGTTTTCGGGGAAGGAGGGATGGTTTGGAACAAGCTAGCTCTTTATAATAAGAACACATATCTTCACTATTTCTCTACATCTCAGAACAAATTGAGTCTAGATTTGTAACCACTTCTTTTAAAATTCAGTGCAGGTAAGAGGCAACATTGCAAAGAGACCCTGTGGTGGAGAGGAGTAACAATCAAGGGACCCGATGTCTACCTCTATGTTGCTACCCTCTTTTATGGTGGCCCTCTTAGGCTGGACACTTCATCCATATTGTGAGGTTAATAGTATCTTTTCTGATTAGTACATTAGAATTGCTGTGAGGATCAACTGAGATACTTATGACAGTATAAAGTGATATCAGTGGCCAGGTTTGTACAGGTGATGCTACTGATTGATTCACAGCAGTCACTTGTTTTGAAGGAAAGAGAAAGGAGCAGCAAGCTGAGCTTCATTGACGACTTCATCAGGGATGATGGTGATCTTTTCCTTCAATCCAAACAGTTCCTCTAATACCCAGACCCCTTTTCACACATTTTAGTCCCACACATATCTTAATGCCCCAATATATGTCTCTAACTCTACATACTGTTAATTCATTCCTAATCTTGACCTCTGTTCCCAACTAATAAGCCAGAAACCTGGAACTGTCTCTTACCATTCTTCTTCCCAACCCCCATGTCCTTGAACAGGTCATGTCAGTTCAATGTTAGTTATAACCAGACCCATCAATGCCTTCCTTCTAATGTTACCTCTTGGCCCCTGCACGCACACTTTCCTTTCCAGGAATACCCTCCCTTTTCTTCCCTCATCTCATCCAACCTAGCCAGATGCCACTCATCATGCAAGATTCAACTCCAGGTGCACCTTGTCAGTGAAGCCCTTCTCTAGCACCCCCTTCCACAGCCCCAGATGAGACCTGGTCGCTACTCCACAGTGACTCACACCTCAGTGGAGACCTATCACACATGTTTATTCACATGTGTGTGTCATGTATCTCTTTGTATTATGTTTTAAGGCAGATACCCTATTCTTGACATCTCTGTGCCCACCGCCCAGGCCAGCACTGTGTGAGTACTTGATGAATGAATGTTCAATGAGCTTGTTACTTTGGGCTCATTTCTTTTCTGCTTATTTTAGGTCTTCTCTCAAATACAATTATCTTTCCCTTCCTCTTCATTCATTCTTGCTCAACAGGGTCAGGGAGCCAATATAAATTACACAGAGACCATATTTGGGGAAAATCATGCCCTGTTCAACTGAAGGCAGGCAGCATGTCCACATTATCCAGATGCTGATTGCTGAAGTGGATTTCCTAATACTTCAGAGGCAAACATTCTCTGACTGTTGATCCTAGGAATAAAGACAGGAGAAATTCTCTCCTTGACAAGTACTATAATAAAAATGACACTAACAGTTATTGATTATGAGCCAAAAATTTTATATTTATTGTCTCATTTGTTCCCCCTCAAAAACTTATTAAAATGGATGGTGACATGCTGGTAAATATTTAATAACTGGCTTTCTGGCTAAAAAAAATGAGCTCTGACTTGTAGCAGTTACCAATTTCTATGGAATACATATTCCTACCCTGGCTGATATCAGGTTATCAAAGTGATATCACTGAATGCAGAAAGGAGAAAAGATGTTTAGGAGCAAAGCAGCAAACCCATATGGAAAGATAAGGGATCAAGAGACTCTTTTTTTTTTTTTTTTTTTGGTAAAGGGCCAGATAGTAAATAATTTAGGCTTTGTGGGCCATTAATTCTCTGTTACAAGTACTTCAATCTGCTATTGCAGCAATAAAGGGGCATAGGAAATATATAACAAATGAATTGCTATGTTCCAAACTCAACTTATGGACACTGATATTTGAATTTCATGTAACTTTTAGGTGCCATAAAACATTATTCTCTTGATTTTTTCTTAACTATTTAAGTCTAAAATTACTCTTAACTTGTGAGCTATGTACAAATACATGGTGGGTCAGACTTGGCCCATGAAATAGTTTGCCAATCCTGACCATAGATAAAAATAACAAATAGTAGAAGAAAATTAGAAAATTATGAGTTTTGAGCATTTAGTTATTTCAATGTATTTTATTTAATCATAAGTTTACATAGTTTAAATCTCTCTSTSTSTGTGTGTGTGTGTGTGTGTGTGTGTGTGTGTGGTGCTGGGGACTGAACTCAGGTTAGCACATGCTAAGCATGTGCTCTACCACTGAGCTACACCCCTATCCCCATAGTTCAATTTTTAATAATAGCTGTTTGTAACAACTGGATTTTAAGTTTCCTAAAAACTTAATAGTTGACTCTCCTGAAAGCAGGTGTTATTATCTGTTTTACAGATGAGAAAATTTTGCTTCAGAGAGGTCATCTTATTCTTCATTACACAAACAGTAAGTGGAAGAGCCAAGACTTAAAACACACCTGCCTAATTCCAGAAACTATGCCTTGAACCACTCTGAGAGAGAGAGTTTTCCAGAGTGGGTTTCAAGGAGCTACTAGATTGTCAGATGACTGAACTAGAAGTTCTGTACACACTGGCATGGAAAACACACACACACACACACAGTAGGTATTTGTGCCTGCTGCAAGTTTGGTCAACTACTTCCACCAGGGATGTTCACCAGTGAGTAGAATGTGACCAGACAGATGCTATTTGTTGCATGTCAGAGTTTTAGAAAAGGGTCTTGGTGGGAAAAGTCACAATTAGTAGCAAAAATGCAGGTTAGGAACTATCTGTGCATCATATTTGTCTTATCCTTCCTTTCTGGGGCCCACATTCTGAATTCATTCCTCTCATCCCCAAGAAAATGCCTTTGACTGTTCCAAACCTTAAGACTCCCCCATGCTGATCCTTACCCCTGAAAATATAAAGGATTAAAGACTAATAGAAAAAAAATGATGCTTTACCACATTTTAATTCAAAATGTTACCTCTGCCATCTTGCTGGACACATCCAGCACTAAACAGACCACCTTGTCACCGGCCTGTGTAACAGTGAAAGTGGGAGGAGGTGGAARCTCAGAACCCTTCCAGGGAAGGCTGCCTTTGAAGTCAGCAGAGTCTGCCATCACATCCCACGCACTTCTGAGGCTGCAAATTTGGTTCTGTAGGTTTGGAGCTTCTTGGTTGTGAGTACTTGCATTACAGAATTCAACTACCTGGAAAAAGAAGAGTCCATCAGAGAGTAAACCTCCTCCCAGACCCAACACACTTCTCATTTTCCAGCAACTCCAGGTGAAATAAAGGGTAAGCTGAAGGAGAGGGAATCAGAAGTACCTCAGTCAGAGACTTCTTCCTTTAAAAAATGACATCAAGCTTACAAATCAACTGTGGTACCCTTTGTTTGATACACTAGCACCCTTGTGGTACTGGGTACTCTTAAAGCTTATTTGCACTTAGATAACAGAGAGCAGACAGTATGTATAGCTCAGTCTTAGAAAAATAAAACAATCTCCCTCCCTATTTTAGCATGATATTATGTTAAGGAAACACCCTAGGAGATATTATCTTGACCAGCCTATCCATTGGAATCATATTAAATGACAACTGCACCTTTATTTGTGAATCAGCATATATTGATCTTGTGCAAATATTGATCCTGTAAGAATAGGATAAGGGGAAAACCTTAAATATACTTCCTGACACACACCTCCCTTTTAGAATTTTTTTTTTGGTGGTGCTAGAGATTGGACCTTGTGCATGCTAGTCAAGGACTCTACCAAGAAATATAGTTTTAATTCATTTATTAGTAATAAACCAATGTCAAAATCCCACTTAAATGTATGGTTTGCATTGCAAAGTAATATTTTACCATCTATTCCCAGTGGTTATATTCCTATGAGTAGACAAATACTTCCTGCTAACAGAGCCATGGGAGCTTAGAGCTAAAAGGAACTTTATAGACCCTAGTAGTTCTATCTCTAATTTATACAAGAGAAAGCTGAGTAGGATGGGTGTCAGGAGCAGAATCTGTTTTGTTCATTTCGGTCTTTTCCCTATATTTCATGACTATGATTAGGAGATTGTGGAACATTTTTCACCGGATATTTTTGAGTAAGCCCTTCAAAGGATTACAAAGAGTATACAACAAAGTCACAAAGAATAGGGAGCAAATACCTAAAATTATGTTGGCTTCAACATTAAAGCTATAAATTTAAAACATAATGGATAAGACAAGAAATATGAAAAATCATCTTAGTTACAAATGACTCCTTACCTTGACTAGAACCAAGCTGAGGGGAAAAAGTTAACTAAAAGGAAAGCAAGAAATGTTTAAATACAAGAGGCATTAGTCAGCCACAGAAATATAGAGAAAATTCCACAAAGCTATGTGTCCACAGTGTTCCCAGCCCCATGGAGAGATGACCCCCAGACTGACTTTCAGATCTGTGTGAAGTTGGATAGTACATCGGGTCACGAAGGTTGATTCCACTGCCAAGCAACTTAGCAAGACCTTGTCTCAAGGCATAAAATAAAAGACTATGGATGTGGCTTAGTGGTAAAGCACTCCTGGGTTCAATATCCTTAGGACCAAAAAAAAAAAAAAGCATACAGGAGCACCACCATATAAGCATTTATTTTGTGGTCTCCAGGGTCCCCTTGTTAACTTACTTTCCTGGGAAGCAAATTATCACATTTATAAAGAAATCTTTATTTGGTGATCATTTTGCAAGGCCTCAGTTTTTAAGTACTATCTTGGGAAGAGATGGAAGCTTATAGGAGTTTGTCATTTCAAGGACATACTTACAGAAGATAAACTTTGCATAAACATTATTGATGCAGTTGCATTTTGAGTGCTGTTGTAGATAAACACACATCCTTCTTTGAAAAGCTTACTAATAATGCAGTTTTCTTGGGGGCAAGGGCCTTTTTCACACACAAAAATGCCTGTGATGTCAGATGAACATCTGAAAATGAAAAAAAAAACTGGGAATTGGTTCTTTTGTAGAAGTACTTATGTTACTTCTTGACTAGCTTATATGATAAATTGTTTCAAGGATTAGAGCTTGCCGGATACACATAAACATTTTAAAACTGCTCTACTAAGAAAGCACATCAATTTAGAAATGCACTTCACTTTATTTTAAAACATGAGTCTTGATGAAAGTGTTCTGTATTATCAAAGGTTTTAGCCAATTAGAGTCAAAGCAAAAGTTACTAGGAAACCTAGAGGAATTTTAGGAGACTCAAAGAGGGGCATGAAGAGCAATAGCTGTGGCAGTGCTACTTTGGGTTTGGGTCCACTGGACATCAGAGAAAGAAGAGAATGAGGATGTAATGATGATACTTCAAAGGATTCCTTCCTCAATAAACAACCTCAAGTCTTGCTGATGGGAGTGAAAAACATTGCCACTTGGAGGAGAGGATTCAGTGAGCATCATAGTTGAGGGTACCCTCAGACCCAGTATTTCTGAGAGGAATTCAACAGACAGATTAGCCTGCATGCAGGAGAAATGGCATATGGATAATACCTGCATTGTTATTGGGAATAACCAAAAATAGAGATAATTTATGTGTCCAACAGGAGGGAACTGGTTGAATAAATTATGGTATATCCACACAATGAAATTATTTAAAACGGGGTGAGGAAAAAATATAGACTCATATTTATTTGAATTTTCCTGAAGAAATACTGAAAAGAAATAAGAAACTAATCAACATGGTTACTTAGAGTGGATGTGAGGAAAAACAATGAAGATAGTGTTGGGAGTGAGACTGCTAAAAGTTTAACTTTTTATGTTGTTTTGACATATGAACCACATAAACATTTACCTGTTTTTATTAAAGTGCAAAAAGATTTGAAAACAAAAAATGGAAGGATCTCTTCCTTGTTAATTTTTAGTTGCCAGTATAAACTTAATTTTATTCTTATTTTTAATTTTTTATATCACATAATGTTAAAATCAGAATAAAATAAAAATGAAATAATAACATTTATTATTTCTTCATAGTGAAGATTTCATTAATTTTAGAGTCAAATAATAAATTTTAAACATGAGAAAAAGTACTAACCTTGTAACTTTAATTTGATTTTGTCCATTTATATAGAAAGGTTTGTCATTATTATATTCATCAAACACACCCCAACGGAGATGGGCCCATTCATGGACAAACACTCTACCTGTGGAAGACAGAACTTTTACCTTTGAGCTCCCAAAAATCTGAGCCATGGGCCTTACTAATGAGTGAATATGTTATATCCCTCAATTCTATACCTCTATCTAAGTCCTCTCCTCCCCTCCCCTCCCATCTCTTCCTACCCCACCTCCAACCATCATAAAAAAAGGCAGAATGGAAATATATTTGTCCTGTAAATGCAAACCAGTGATTTACTTATTGTAGATCTTCAAGAAGCTAATGGTGAATCCCATATCCTCTCATTTTCTCAATGAAGCTATCTAACAGGTTTCTATTTAGCTTTATGGAGACCTATAAATTTGGGGTTTGGGGAAAGAGGAGAAGTATATTCTGGCAAGCAAACAAACTTCCTAATCTCTAGTCTGTGCTATTCAAGAGTGCCTGCTTTTTTCCTTGCAGGTAATTCTCTTATCTAGAGCAATGACTGAAACCTAGGAGCCAGGGAGGAAGTAGGGAACAAAAAACAAGAGMACACAATCCTCTTTGCAGCTTTAATGTCCCTTTCTCTTTTATTTTATTCATATTTTCCATTTTTTGTGTTTATTTCCAACTCAGTTCATGGAAGCCCCATCTTCAGCATCAAATCCTTTATAACTTTACCTTTCTGAGTCACATTTCCTTCAGATCAGAACTTACTTCTTTCTCCCAGAAATTGTCCAGGTGAACTCCACTCCCAAAACACACATTTTTATTTTTTGAATCACTGTAAGTTCTGGGAACTCAGAAAGTACTTGCTGAGTTGGCTCAGATTGTGGCATGTTGTGCAATTTTGGATCTGGAGACAGAGGGAAGGAGGAAAATGGCCCCAGCTGAGAGTTAGGGAAGGTGTGTTCCTACTCATGGAATTTGGGAGTGCTAAAGATACATAGCAGTGCAGAGGTAATCTGCATCTTGTGGTTGCCCGAGGAAGAAAAGAATATTTATAAATTTTTTTGCTTGTTTAAAAATATAATTTATATGTACACATATGGCAAGTAGTCAAATGTTAATATTCACAAAGTTGGCATTTCCAGGCAGAGGAGTCTTGATGGATAGTCATAGATTTTATTTTATTATTTTTTCTCTATTTTCTAAATTTTCTATAATGAATTTGTAGTATGACAGGAAAAATATCATTTTGAAAGACACAGGAAAAAATTCTGTTAAAAATACTTCATATGCTTTCAAAGAAGCTTACATTTAACTCATTTTCCTCTTCATTGTCAAAAAAAAAAAAGGAGTTGTTTTTGATTTGCTTTTGTGAGTTGTTGTTTTTTTTAAATTGAGTCCTGCTTATTTACTCTGTCTTCATTTGTCTTCTTTTTACTTATTTTTATTAAACATGAATATTTTTTCATCTGAGGGATGCTTGACTGGTTTTCAATACCTGATTCTACCATCAGCTGGAGCTGGTTCTTCATCTGTTTTTACAGCCTTTATTTCTGCTTTCATTTTCATGATTTCTTCAGCTGTCAGGTCTCCCTTTTTAAGAAAAACCTATGTAGGACTGTTCATTTCTTTGTCACTGTGGTCAGCATTTTTATCTGGGAGCTGAAGCTGGATTCTCTAATCTCATCTCTTCTTTTGTACACTGTGCATAACTCATAGGAAGCCAGTAACACACTGTGTTTTCAGTGCTTTGTCTGTCTCTAGAAGGCACGCTCCTCTGAGAGGTATTATGTTGCATCTCTGTATCTAGATGTGCAGAGCCTTGGTCTCTATGGTGGGCCCTTCCCTCTACCTGACTTGCTCCTTAAGGCGGGACAGGATCCAAGCTTGGCAGGCCACACTTAAGACACCTGGTTCTGTTTGCTCATGGCTGGTCTGGGTAAAACCCTTACAGTTTTGATAAAGTTTTACAAAGTATATTTTTTAGAATATGTCATTTAACTCCCTGCTAACTATACAGAGAATAACAAAATCTATTTAAATTTGAATAGGGTAAAAACAAACAAAAAAAAAAACATTAAAAGGCACTACTGTAAGTTACAAACAAAAAGTTAAGGTTGGAAGTTTAGCCCTTGACTGACTGACCTGTTCTCACTAATTTCTCAAATCTCACCCACTGTCCTCCAGTCTGTGGCCTGYAACCTTGACTTCTCTCCCAAGTTCCAATCCACATTTGACCACAGGCCTAACTTCCCAGCAGGACTGGCTGGGACTCCTCACCATCATCTTGCCTAAATCCACACTTACGGGTTTCTCCTTTCAATTGGTCCCTCTATTTCTAAGAAATTGGCGCTGTCCTTGTTCCTTACTGCCTCCTGGACATACCTCTTGCTTTTCACTCTGTATCAGTTCCGACCTCTATTTCTCTTTTGAAATTCTGGAATATTTTTTTTATAACTTGGAGTTGTTAGAATTAAATAAGAAAATATTTAAAAAGCAAACAGCAGGGCACCTGGCACATAGGAAGTCCTCGTGTTCTAGTTACTGTCTCTCCTGTCCTTCCCCTCTCACCACATTCACTCTTCCTCAAGCCTTATGGCCTTTTACCTGGACATCTGCTAGTTATTTTCTTGATAACCAGGTCCTCCCCCATTGATTTGAGTTTGTCAGGTTATCCATACAGCCCAACTAATCTTCTGAAAACACTGTGTCGCTCCTGTGCTTATGAACCTTCAGTGGTGAGTTGCTCATGTGAACATTTGGGGCTGTCACATCACCTGGCTCCATGTACATTTCAGTATTTTCTCCCATACCAATCTCTGTGCCATCCGTGGGGTCTCCTTCTATACATCTCTCAAACATGCCTAGGTTCCTCACAACTACAGCTTTATTCACACTCTTCCTGCTATTCTCTCCCTCTCCTTCATTAATCAAAAGATGACACTTTAAAGCCTTTCTCTTTTGTGAGACCTGTTTGGACTACCTTGGTCTCAAACTTTATTAAATTCTGAGAGCACTTCACTAACCTAGTGCTTAACTCTTCCTGGCTTTCTTAGTTCCTCATCTTTGCATGGGCATGTGACCTATCGCCCCACCCAAACTCTAAGTCCTTGATAGGTTTCAGGTTTTCTGAGTCCTTTTGAGCACCCAACACAAAATCTTGTGAATACTAAAGTACAGTGGTTATTTTCTGATWAGCCACACCTACCTCGGGATCCATAGCCAGCTGTTAAGTCATCATTCAGTAGGAAGTTCGGTGTGAAATGAATGTATCTTCCTTCTTTTCCACATCCTCTGTATTGCAGAGTGTATGGGTCATCTCCTTGTACCCCATTCCAATCAGCCACTATGACATCTGCCTAAATTATAAGAAATGTGTTGTGGTACTCTATATTTTGACTGTGATATTGTTGGCATAAATGTATGTTAAAGCACTCTTAACTGTACACCTTAGATTTGTGCATTTTACTGTATGTAATTATACCCTGATTTAAGAGCAGATTAAATAAAAAAGGAAGAAAAGAAATGCTTTATAGATGGAACTTAGAATGCATTCACAATTAAATATCAACTAAATCATTTGGCCCTTGCAAAAACTTCTAATTTTAAAGCTTAGGAAATTTCCATGGAGCTTCATTACCTCCTTTTGATCTTCCCATTTAGAGAATGGTAGGGATATTTAATCTAGAGGATTAAAATATGCTTGAAAGTCAACACTGTAAAAAGTCTGATATTATATCACTATAAAATGTAATAAAATATTTAAGGAGATTTTAAGAGCATTTACATATCATTCAGAACTGTGCTGTAAAGAGATACAGCTTTTTACAAACAACTTTTTGTGGATTATTTTATTAGGAAAGGCAGTAGGATCTGTACTTTTTCACCTTGTCCTTTCATTCCCATAACCAATTTGATTAGGAAATCAGTCATTCTAGTGAAATTATATTTCTTCTTAAGTCCTGACCATTTCAATTACAATTGCTAAAACACAGCATTCAAAGTCTGAAAGTAAATACCTATTCACATAACCATCAAGAGAGCATCAATTTATATATCACTTTGTTTCTCTTGTTTTAGAAAGAAAGATAACATATTGTCCCAAACTTGCCCTTAGAAATTAAGTATGTTGTCAAGTTAAAAAAGGGGAAGAAAGAAGTTTATTTTGCAATAATAGTTCTAATAAGACCCTAAATATATAATTATCACTACATATGCTATGCGTGGGTGTGTGTTTATGTGCATGTACGTATGCACTTGCCACTGAGGAGAGGAAGAAGATATTTTCATTTTTATTTTCCATTTTTCCACCTTGTTCATTTTTTTCTGATGTAATGAATCACTTTTACAATAATTAACATTTATATTTTAAAAAGCCAACAGCTTTGAAAAACAACACCTACCAAAACTGCTAACGAGGTTGTGCCATTGCATAGTCCTCATTTGGACAACACCTCACTCTTAGGCCTGAAATTTTGACCAAAACCAAAAAAAAAAAAAAAAAAAAAGACTCCTTTGCATGGAATGGGTGATACTCAGAGGCTGTTTGGGGTTACATTAGGCCTTATAGACTATTGTAATTCAGATCTTATCTACTCTTCCTAACCTTTTCTCTTGCCCCCTTATTCCTACCTGCACCATACTGTAGATTCACAAAGACAAGAGCTACCTTGCTTGTCTTTGTGTCCTTTACAGTGCCTAGCAAGGTCCTGTTCATATTATCATTCACTCTGTGCTTGCTTAATTGACATGATGAAGTTAAAGGAAATGGCACCCAAAAGATATATGAATAGCATTCGATTTCTATTCTGTTTGCTGGTCTTTCTGTTTAGTCATATTGTTACATATGCTTTACTTATTTGTTTCTCTCCCCATCATGGTGATCAGGGGTTCTATCTTTGGCAACCTGGTTTTGATGCTGGGTGTCTCCAGTACTTCTCAGTCCTACTGAAGACCAAATTGCTTAATGCAATCTCCATCAATCACATAGAGACTACATAGCTTAATGCAAACAGCACAGGTTTTGAAGTCAAACACCCATTTAAATTGTGGCTCTAATTTATTGGGTGTTTGACTTGAGACAGACAGCTTACCTTCCTAATTAGTTTCCTAATCTGTAATAACAGCAACCAATTTCAGGCTGCATGATAAATAAATACTACATGTAAATTCTTGGTACTTTCTCCCCAGTCTGTCCCAGTTCCCTTACTTACTTACCCTGTTCCCACATGAAATATTATCAAATGCTTTCATCTGGTCAGAAATCAAATGCTTGTAAGAACCTCTTTAACTTCTTCAGGACACGAGGGTACCTATTTACATTGCTATGCCATTCAGTTTCTGAGAGTAACTTCAAATGTGAGCTAAGAATTAAAATTACCTTAAGAAATTTCATACCAAATAACAAAAATAAGGAAAAGGGGAAGCTGTGCCATATGTCTCTGCCATCCTGATTGGACTGCAACAAATCTCGAGCCTACTCCATTACTGATGCCCTGAGTTAAGCTCTTCTCAGTGTCTCTGCTCTGGGCCCTCCTGGCAGCTGTGATGGGCTCTTGTTCATAGTCACTCACCAAACTGATTTAACCTTTATTTATACTGTACACACCAATATGTGCTGGGCATCCCTGTGGGAAAGCACCCTGATCTCTAGTTCATGAGAGATCTTCAAGGGTAATTCATTTTTAGCTGGAAAAGAACAGATAGCTGTTTTAGTAAGCTTTTTCACTTCTGTGACTCAAAGACCTAACCAGAACAACCGTAGAGGAGGACAAGTTTATTTGAGGGCTCACGGTTTCAGAGGCCTTAGTCCACAGAAGGCCCGCTCTATTCCTTGGGGCTCTAGGTGAGGCAGAACATCATGGCAGAAGAGTGTGGCAGAGGGAAGTGGCTCACATGAAGAGCAGTCTCCACTTGGCAAATACGGATTCACTGATTGGGTTAAGACTCTTACAACCCAGTCATTCTCCTCTGAACCTTCTTGCATTTTGTCTCAGACCAAAAAAAAAACCTTCTTGCATTTTGTCTCACATCAAAACCAAAACAGTAGCCATTCTTTGCCTTATTCATAAACTTCTGTCCTGCCTTCATATTTCCTCACTTCCCTAAACCAGCATCTTGGCCTTGGGCTAAAGTGAAATTCTGCTAATACACCATGGCATGAGAAGGCAGTCATATTTTTATATGCGTGGGTGGCTTGTGTTCCTGTCTGTACCTGTGTGTTACTGCCTCTGACAAGATGGTGAATAAAGACAGTCATCCTTGGAATTTCTCCCTTCACTGCTCATCCTCAGGATAAAACTGACTATTGGTCCTCAATCAAAAATTTCAGCAAGGGCTGGGGTTGTGGCTCAGCGGTAGAGCACTTGCCCCTCACATGTGAATCACTGGTTTGACCCTCAGCTCCACATAAAAATAAATGAATAAAATAAAGATATTGTGTCCATCTACAATTAAATGTGTGTGTGTGTGTATATATATATATATATATATCTTTTTTTAAATTTCAGCAAGGATCCTATAAGCTATTTAATAAGCTCTAAAAACGTACTTGGGCAATGGCATTTTACTTATTTTTCCACTCCATGATTTATACTCACTTATTTTATTTTCATATTTTTAATAAAGATTTTTTATTTTTAATTGACACATAATGATCATAATATTTATGGGGTACAGTTCATATATTTTGTCAATAAAACTCTGCCCAATAATATTAATATTAATGCACAACATCAACAACACAGTTTATTTTGGTATTGTTTCTTTTTTTCATTCAAATTGAGTTAAGCTCATTTAGTGAAATCCTGAATGCTTACCTTTTCATATGATTCTTGTTTTACCTTGCTATAATTATTAGCGTTCCATGTGGCAGGTATTAAAATCTGTATATTTCTGAAAAATACTCTTCTCTTTGTAGCATTGAATAGGTAAAAAGAAGCTTCAGTTATCATTTCCTATAATAAAACAAAAGACAAACTTATTTTTATCACTCATAACACCTTTATATTTTGGCTTTCTGAAGGAGTTCATGAAAGCATAGGAGCAAAAGAAAAAAAATAAAAATTTCAATGGTTATCTTGAAGAGATCAGAGTGCAGGTCTGGACTTGTCCTTGTGATTCTACTAATTTTTTGAAAGGGTTTTAAGCTTTTACTGAACAAAACTTCTCATGCCACACCTGTGGGCATGTTTGAGACCACACCTATGATGATATTATTTTCACTCGAGCAATTCCAAAAAGGGCTTTTAAGTAATGATCCTCCCTCGCCATATTCAAGTGAAAATAGGCAATTGCTTTACAACACTCAGGTGAAAAGAGAGAATTTTTTTGCTCTTGCACCGTACGCACTCTCACCCTTTCTATTTGAGAATTATCATCATCAGGATAGTACCCAACAAGATGATTTTAATAAGAATGATCATGCTGACTCATCAGTCAAGTATCCTGTCTCTTTTGCCATAATGGGTTGTTACTTTTTAAAGGTGCTATCCCAAAACCAGTCAAGTAGAAAAAGCAAACAAACTTTGCGGTAACCAAAAAAAACCACTGTGAGCTGAGACTACACAGAAGTAGGAGAACACACTGCCTTGGCCCTAATCATTATTTGTGTGTGTGTGTGTGTGTGTGCRCGTGCGTGCGTGCGTGTGCCTGCTATCTTTAAGAAATGTTGCCCTCTCAGATTGGGGCTGTATCTCAGTGGCAGAGCACTTGCCTAGCATGTGTGAGGCACTAGGTGGGATCCTCAGTACCACATAAAAATAAAATAAAGGCATTCTGGTTGTGAAGAAGAAGAAGGAGGAGGCGGGGAGGGGGAAGGGGAGGAGAAGGAGAAGGAGAAGAAATAATCTTGCCCTCTCTATGGCTCAAATACAAACCTGGTAGGGTTGTTAGTTCTTTAAAGAAGGCTACAGTTCTGATCTAATGTGGTCATGATATCGATTTGTTAATTGCCACTCACCTTAATGTTTGTGATGAGGTTCTGATTCTCAGGTACCTGAGGATTAATTGCAATAAGTATTCCATCATACCCGTTGTCTTGAAGCTGCACTCTGGCCCCCAGGAGTAGAAGTACTGGACTTAGGGCAACCAGAAAAGTCACAAACTTCAGGCTGCCGACAGAACCTGCTTTGTCCCTGTGGGTCATATCGTAGAGAAAGATCTCACCGCTTTACTCACAAGGGCCCTGCTGGGTGCATTGTATCAGGTGGTCAATGGTGAAGCAGATCCTTTCTTCCTGTACTTGAAAGTCTTAGGATGTATGATGTATCATGAAGGAGGTTCCTTGTTTGAAAAATTTGGGCTGGATCTCTCAGGGACCTGTCTCCACAAGCTCTTTTTCTCTGAGGCAATGCCACGCTTGCCTGTTCTGTGGCTGAGCTTCCTCCTGAATTGAACTTGGACAAGAAACTTTCCAACCCTTATTCGTTTTATATCTTCTCAGAAGGAAGAGGGAATAAGATAAAAGAAGCTTTAAAGCAGGTGGCCTGCATTGATGGGCYAGAAATCAGTGTATTCAGATTGATCAATCAACTCAAAGTAGAAACAGAAACCTCTAGTGATTTTCTTTCCTTTGTCCTTGACAGACTCCACTATTAATCAGCACAATATTTCCACCGTGCATTCAGGTCTTTTTTGTTTGTTTGTTTCTTGTGAAGATTTCCTTGCTTACTTATTTTGAGGATTTAGAAATCCACCCTGCAGTCCTGTCCCTAGAGCCCTGGGTCAGGCAGTCTGTGCAAGCTCTTAGCTGATGGCTGGGTTAGGGTGTCAGATATCATCCAGGAAAGCCAAGTGGCAGGAACTTGGATGCTGTGAGTGCCACAAGGCCTTTCMCCTGGCTTTGCTGCCTTTTCTCTCTGGACCAGGGAGAAGAATGGATTTCTGTCCCAGAGATTCTCTCCTGCCTCAAACTATTTCTCTAATATCCATTTATAGGATTTAGTATATAGGTTTCACAAATATTTTATGACAGATTAATAATACCTGATAATTATATAATGCTTTGGAGTTTACACCTTGATCCATTTAAATGTCAATTCCCTGATGTAGGTTCAATTTTTTATTCCCATTTTTTCAAATAAAGACACTGAGTCTCAGAAAGATTCTAACAATGAGCCAATGGGGGAAGTTACTAACGCTTCCTGAGTGATGAGTTTTAACTACATCTAGTTTATAGGTGACAAAACTAAGTTTCAGAAAATCTAAAAACATGTTCAAGGTTGGGACTTTTATCCAAGTGCTAAAACTGACTCCCAATCCCCTTATTTTCACGATATCATGTTCTCTTGCAGTTACCCAGTTATCCTGCGAACCCTCTTTCTCTATTCTCTTTGTGTATGAAAACACTATACACAACAACAACTATAGAAAAACTATCTAAAACCAAGGGAAAAGCTTAGTCACTAGATGAGGGGTCCACAGTGAGCAAATCTTGAGACCTTTGGTCCCTGTACACTCTTCTCTCCTGTGATCCCCGCTCTGAAGGTTGATGGGGAGGGAACTATAGCAGATGGGGAGGATCTGCCACTGCTGTCAATGTGGATTTCACACTGCCACTTTCCTGCTCTCCTGCCCATCTTCAGATAAATGCCATTCTTCCTTTTCTAAAAATTGGAGTCTTCTGAATGAAGGGTTTAGTCTCCTGTCTTTTGACCTGGTAAGCATAATACAGATAGAATTTAACCATAATTTATAGTGCAGGTACTTTGCTTGTTGTCTCTAATCCTCATTTTATGAAGATACAATCTCCATTTTATAGATGAGGATGGGATTTAACAGGTTCTGTAAAATGGAGAAATAAAAATATCTCCTTCATAGGTTTATTGAGATCAGTATTAGTTAATATATTCAATTGCTTATAATGGTATCTAGCATATAGTAAGTGACATGTGAATATTAGCTATCATTCTTATTTTAATAATAATAAGGTCAAATCAATAACAAAATAATAATATATCAAATTAATAACGATAATTTGAGCCCCCTAATTAGGTCAAATCTCCCTATTATCATACTTTCAGAGCATCTGGCATCTCTCCTTTGAAGTACATCATKGTGGCCACGTCACATTTATATTGTGTAATCAGTTGTCAGCTCCCTGCTATAGGCAGTATGAGAGAAGGGCCGTGTCTGTTTTGTGCACTCCTTCCCCAGCATCTACTTGGGTCAACTCTCAATATTTCTTGAATGAATGAATGGAGTCAGCAGAAATAAATAAAAGCCAGATTACAAAGGATTTCTGGATTAGTGTGAAAATGCTCAAGCTGTCCTGACTGTCTTGGGTCTTGCTGTTCCCTCTGGGTGTGTTGGAGAATGGAATGTCTCTGGTCACCATGTGGCTGTCAAACTTGCTCACCCAGCAGCTCAAAGATCAGCTCAGCTGCCTTGTCTTCCAAAGCTGATTCCCAGCAAGGGTTTTTCTTCCCACTGGATGGTGTGGAAACTCTAAAGGTGTGCCTGTAACTGTGACTCATGCAGAGCAGAGCAAGCACTTCATTTCAACTTTCCTTGGCAGTTTATGTTCTTATGCCAATCTCTTGTCTTTTAACACAAAAGTATTCCCGGTTGTAAAGCAGTATGTTCAAAAATTATACTCATAAACACACTGTAAGAATATTTTTCACTCACCATCAGGGAAGAGCTTCTTGTCACCATACACACTTGCCTAAATATTTCACTGGAGGAAGGGACAATTGAAGACAGTCATTCAGCACTTTCTCTTGTTTAACTTGTTTTTTGTCAACAGTTAAAATGGTTCCTTCAGAGTGTGAGTGTGGGGGATATTGGCTGGAAAATGCATATAGCTTTATAAAGACCACCAAAAGTGAGCATCTTGTCTGACTTTGCCTGGGTTAAAGCCTGAACAGGCACACCTGGACTTTGCTTAACCTGGGCTGAGAGTGTAGGCATGGCCTCCACTCATGTCTACCTGCATTTTGACTCCTTGGTTCTGGACCCAATCTCCATCTAGTCTGGCCACTTTACTGAACTCCACTTTTGCCATCTGTTCCTTGCAAAATTCCCAGTCACTGATTCATTTTCTGATCACGTCTTGACAATTACATTCACTTCTGAAAGTCTTTCCCATCACCTCAGTTCTGACCCACCCTTTGGAATCTACTCTGCTGTCAGCAACCAGGTCAAAAACCAGGACAGAAGATCTCTTCTTATTGCTCTCTCCTGTTGCTGGGCTGACCCTATAGGAGACAAAACTAAAAAGCTGGAGAAAACTGACTTGACTAAATGATTAAAAGTCATTCCTGAGCATGTGTTCTCTCCTCATACAATTTATTCTTTCATGCAAAAAATATTTGCTAGTCTATGTTTATATGATAAAAGAGAAATAAAATATACCTAAGTGAAAAAAATGTGAATACAATTTTCAAGGGTTTATTTCAATGTTATATAAACTCTAGGAATCTGTTCTGCTTTAATCTACTTTCAAGAAAAAAAAAACGTTATTCAATTTCAGTAACTGAAGAATTGAAAGCACATCTTTGTGCATTGTGTGAACACACAGTTCAGCCTGGTCTTGGAAGGCTTCATGGAGTCTGCTGATACAGAGCCACAGGCAAAATGAATAAAGCATCAGATGGGTGTCAGAGACGTAAGGAGATTTGGCATCTTAAGGAGTCAAAGAAAGTTTTGCTTCCTCTTGGGATTTTGGTTCAAGAATCCCATTTAGAAGAAGAGAGTATCTGTATGGCCCACCTTAGTTTATGCAATATTTATGAAATAAATCAAAATAGAAGTGAAACATGTTGTAAGAATCTTAAAATCTAAACAGAATTTTATAAGAGTCTGCTGAGGACCCAGATGGGTCTGCCCAGATTTCATCCATCTCATATCCCATTTTCTTCAAATTCATACTCAATTTTAAAGCAAAGGAGTGAAGTAGATAACCACAGAAGGCTTGGGACCATTTGGTCTCTTGAGTCACCACTATGTCAATGCATGGGGATTGAGAACAAAAGTGAGATGCAATGACACATAAACGCAGAATTGAGCCAGTAAACCTAGTGGCTCCCAGAGATAACTGCTTGGAGGCCTGAGGAGAAAGGATTCCCAAACTGAACAAAACACTGAACTTGGACCCTGTGAAAACCTTCCCAGGGATAAAATCTTGGAAGCTCCCGACATTATTAGAAATAATGATTGTGCTTTTGATTGTGCTTTTCAGTTTTCAAAGCACATCTGTGTATTTTATCTCAGAAAATTATTTTAAAGAAAAGCAAAAGCAGTTATCTTTTTTGAGGACCATTTAAATGAGGTCCATCTTGGATATGAGGCTAAGGTCTAACTCATGGATTCTTTAAAATTCATTCTGTGCATAGCACTATAGTATACCATGTAGTGTTCAGGGCAGGAGATATTTCTTGTACTCATTTTCTACAGGACCCTGGTCCCATCACTTTTTTTGAGGCTTGTTTTCATCATCTCTAAAATAAGGAGCTTAATATACGTAATGGTATTATTTTCCCCTGCATTCCTCACCTAATTCACTATTGCAGTAACTTGGTAGATTAATTTGTGCACCCACACACCTAAATCTGCCAAAATGAATGGCACATGAGAACTGATATTATATGTCAACCCAATAAAAAAGGGGGAGAAAGTGCATGAAATATTCCTCATTTGCAAAGCAGGCAGAAAATTAATTTGCCTCCTATAAACACATCCATAGAATAGAACATCATATGAATGTAGGATATTATCACTACAACCATCATTATTTTTCAGAGAAGATAAAAAGAGAAAGCATAAATGTAGGGGAAATTTTAAAAAGATGAAAAATAAGGAGACTCCAAGAGCAAGTACACAGAAACAGCACCAGATCTTGACTGTCTTTCCCAGTCTCATTTCTGTTTTCTTTCTGCTATGACTCTGGTCTCTGTACCTCTCCAAGACCCCAGGGCTTTACCACCTCTTCTGCTGCCCCCAACCCCACCAGGTACTTTGTTTTCTGTCCTCTACTGTTCTTAATACTTCATTTCACCCAGCCAATCCCATGAGCAGGAAATCAACCAGTTGAAAGATCTGCCAACTGGGATATTAGGGCTCCCTCTTCTGTTCTTGGGGTGCAGGAATCTGAGGCTATGAATCTCCAAACAAAATCCTCAGCAAACGGAACCCATGCACATGAAA